ACCACAGCTCCTCGGTTCCTGGGGCCACTGGTGAGGTCGACGGAGGCGTTTGCAGGTCAGTGCTGACCAGACGGTCGTTTTCTTCTGGCGGTCGTCGCTGGTTCTGGTTCTTGTAGTTCTTGCTCCTGGTTCTTGTCGGTCTTCTCGATGTCGATCGTTCGTGGCCGGCTCCAATCGTCCCATCTTCGTCGTTTTGGTTGGTGTACGCCGTCCGGTTGAGGTCACTGGCGTCGCTTCTCTCTCGATCAGGGCTCGCCCTTCGTTTCACAGTGGAGGTGTCACTGATGCTGATTTCTTGCCGCAAGGTGAGAAACTTCTTACCATGCGTGCTGGCTGAAGTCCGTGAGGTGTCTTCATACACCTGTCTAGCTAGGTGACGTGTAAGGTCGTAATGCTCGTGTGAAGCTGCTTCCCGATCAAGACGCCTTGCTTCTCGATGTCTGAAAGCTTGAGTTCGGAAGGCATCTTTGATCGACTCGCTAAGAAGTTGTCTGCAGAAGTTTTTGCGACGCTTTTCTACAGTCTTGTTGTTCTTGAATATATACGCTATATTGCGTACGCTCTGGGTGATAAATCTTGGATACACTGCTGCACGTTTACATTCAAGAAGGAATCGGATTCGTTCGTTCGTCTTTGCTTGTTTGTCTGCGTTGATCACAATACGCACCAATGCTTCTCTGCGGTTAAAATCTTGTTCAAGTTGTTGTAGGCGAGCAATGGCATCTTTGAGCATCATCATAAGTAGAAAAGTATGTATAAATAACCTTATGCTCATTCTTTGCACTTTTTTGTTGAAATTGAATAATTAAACAAAATCATTGATATATTTCGGCTTGCGCCATCTTATATATCAATGATTTTGTTTAATTATTCAATTTCAACAAAAAAGTGCAAAGAATGAGCATAAGGTTATTTATACATACTTTTCTACTTTTGTTTAGGTTTTATTAGAAAGAAGCACCTCCAGGTATAGCGCCTCTCCTTGGTTGGAAAACCTTCGTGTAACTACACGTCTGCTCTACTAATACCTGATTATTTGTGTATGAGTCATTGCCAAAGATAATGAGCATGACTACTAGGTGAATGTGAAGCCCGGCAAAAGAATGTATGCAAAATAATCAAGAAGAGGTAATCCATGGCAAAGGAATTGCAACAACTGTGGAATGGTTAACTGAAAAATTAATTGAACTAACATTATGCCCACCTTCAGCCCACCCTCAGCAATGAAAGCTCCAATAATTAATAAAATAAGGGTTAACCAGAAAGAAAACATCACTAAAGACTGGAAAACAACAACACTTGAAAAGGTATAGTGTATCTGTCACTCAATATCACAAGACACCAGGGCGGTGTTTCACGGGACGCTGCTACCACGCTGCTATCAAATTGCGCGAGCTGACGTCACACTTGTGGTAGTGTTGGAGCAATGGGCCTGTTGATGTTTCCATGGAAACCCAATTTGACACGTGTAAAAGCAGTGTGCTGCTATCACGGGTGAAACAGGGCCCGGCCCCCTAACTGCCATGTGCGGGTGGCCCCAGAAATATGGGAACATATAAATCTTTAGAATAGAATAGAATAGTGGTTACGGATTTTTAGGACGGTCAACAAAGGACCTGTAGGAAATCCGGTCATTTGCTTCTCCCTTACACCAACCATGTAGCTTTTAGCTCATCCTGGCACCACATGCTCAATCAGTTCGCAGGGTATACTTCCTGTTCACCCACAGCTTGTCGAGACGGTTCTTGAATGTGTTCAAGTTCGGTGCCGCGACGACGTCTGCAGGGAGACTGTTCCAGCTGTCCACTATGCGATGACAGAAAGAGGTCTGGCGAAGATGGGAGTTCACTCGTCTCTTCTTCAGTTTCAGATGGTGACCACGCGTTCGATCTGAGGTGTCGAGCTGCAGAAGGTCGGCTACTTTCACTCTCAGGCATCCTGTCAGAATCTGGTACGCCATTATCATATCTCCTCTCATCCTTCTATAGTACATGGAGGGGAGGTCCAAGGCTCGAAGTCGATCCTGGTACTGAAGGTGACGCAATGGACGAACCAGCTTAGTTGCTCTTCTTTGGACCCTCTCAATGGCATCCTGGTCCGATCTGAATGTAGGTCCCCACACCACATTTGCATACTCAAGGTGAGGACGCACCAGAGTCCGGTAGAGGAGAGGCAGAGAATGACTGTTTAGGGCTTTGAAAGCCCTCTTCACCAGTCCAAGAGCTCTGTTCGCTCGACCCACGGCAGCCGCCACCTGTTCATGGAACTTAAGGTCTTCATCAATGACGAGTCCAAGGTCCTTCTCCATATGCACCTGAGCTAGAGTGGAACCGTTCATCAGGTAGCTGAAGTGCTCGTTAGAGGACCCTAGGTGCATCAGCTTACACTTATCTTGGTTAAAGGGGAGCTGCCACCTGTCTGCCCAGCGTCCCAAGGCATCAATGTCCTGCTGCATGAGAGCCTTGTCCTGAAGGGTGGTCACTTCCTGGTAGAGCTTGGTGTCGTCTGCAAAAAGCATAGAACGGCTTCTGACAGCATCTGGGAGATCATTAATGAAGACTAGAAACAACAATGGTCCCAGTACTGAGCCCTGGGGAATGCCACTGCTGACCCACTTTCCTAAAAAATGTGTACAAATGGAAGGAAGATAATACAAAAGACATTTTACAACCTTTATTATTTAATCAATGCCTACAACATTTCCAGTAAATTGACAGCGAGACATTGTGCAGTATCTGCTCAGAAACAAACTGAAAGTCAAAGTTGAAGAAGGCCTTGGTCAGGCCTGTGACTGATAAATGATAATTACTAGTTATTTCAATTTGGACAAAATGATGATTCCTGCTCTTATTGATGATTTATTTAAAAATTAAATGATAGCAGGTAACATTTATGACAAAAATAATGAAATCAAGGCCATCTATAGAAGGTACAGTCACTCCCCGCCGACCAATCAGAGACAGATCCTGAGTGACGTCATCCCTGATGCTCGAAAGGGGTACTCCATTCCTTTACAACGTAAAAATGACTAACTTCATTTGAAGATTGTTGGTGACACTCTACACACATCGCTCAACCATTGATGTCATTGGAAAGTCCAGCTAATTTTCTAGCGATACAAAAGAGCAGCAATATGCTAAGAAATGGCCGGTTTTGAAGATATAGACGATTTAAAAACCCTCTGCAGTTGCAGGAAAGCAACGTAAAAACGCATCGAGCTTATATTTTTACTATGAATAAATCATTTTTCAGTAAGTTTTTAGATATGGTATCGATTTATTCAACAATTTTATTACAATATTTTTATTACTTGGAACTTTATTTCAAAATAATATTTTCAAAAATGGCAACTGTTGGCAAGTAGCTTTGAAGCGATTGTGGCGCGCTGCGCCATTATTGTCCTGAGGCCCCCATATGATGTCATCAAAAGTGGAGTGACATGGGCCTGAATGAAATATCACCGGACCAGCCCCTATCTCTCCGGAGTCCGGGGAATCCATTGCGCCACATTGGCCGCAAAACAAGGTAGGAGAATTACAAGCCCTGATTACAAGCATCTCTTCTTCCAATGCTTTTTATCGAAATTACGTCCAAGGCACATACCACTTCCAGCATTTCCACCGTAAAGCGAGAGTCCAGGCAAGAGTCCAGGCACGGCCAAGTCGGTTATATGGCCTTGGCCAAGTCAGTATATGGCACGGTAAAGGGCATGCGCATTGTCAGTGGCGTACCCAGGAATTTGCGAAGGACCAGGGCATTGGACGAGAGGGCGCCAATCAAGGAGGGCGCCAACAACAAGGAGGGCGCCACATATCTGAAACTTGAATGTGTCAGTTATGTTCGTACACGTGCGGAACGAACATAACTGACATACCTACTGAACAGAGGGGCGCCACCCACCATCATCTAGGAGCGCGACGCTATCGATTGGAGGGGCGCCAATACTGGATAAAGGGGCGCCACCGGCCCACCATATCGTCTAGGAGGGCGCCACTATCACCAGAGGAGCGCCAATACTGGACAGAGGGGCTTCGCCATCAACTAGAAGCGCGCCGCTATCGACTGGAGGAGCGCCAACACTGGACAGAGGGGCGCCAGTCACTGAGGGCGCCGGGGACGATGAGCCAAAGGGACAGGGCATGCACGGAATGTCCTGTAATGTGCGTACGCCACTGCGCATTGTGCATTTCGGTTTTCGTGATACTGCGGACTGCAAACCGCAGCTTTGTTGTTGTATAGTCCTATTTTGGTGCTCATTTAGCAAGACTTGTTCAATGAAGTTAGATTTTCCGCCGAGACTGGATCCCTGATCCCTTTTCTCTTCCTTTCGAAATCAAACGGGCCTTCCATGCCGCTCAGTTTTGCTGTGAAGTGTTGCCTAGTTGAAAAGAAGTTCGCAGGGATGGTATTCGAAGGTGGTACTTGGGTTGTCGCAGGGATGGTAGGTTTACATAGCATATTTGATGAGGCTCTAGCTCGTTAATTTGGCGATAATTTTGATGCAGTGGTCTTCAAATATTTAGAGGGGATCATTTTGTAAATTGTTCAGCACCATTGGCATCTTTTGCAACATCACGGACGGAGATATAAGCTTGCAACAAACCCTATGTAAACGCGTCTATTGAGGTGGTGGGCCCGTGGGCGACGTTGTCTATCTTGGGCTTGGTGTGGTTATGGTATCATTCGCAACCAAGGCCCTATATATTCGCTACAAATCACACTGTGAGGCCCCAGTATCCCGTATCAGCCACCCTCTCGGATAAAACTAACGAAAGGCCCAAAAGATCGAGTCCGGACTCCGAGTCCGGACACCTAAGAAGCGCAAGCAGACGAGTGTACACACTTGGATCAGTACTGTGGATTTTACCGTGGATCTTGCTGCTTTCACTAAGGACTGAAGCCTTCTTCCTTAAAAATAACCGCTACAAACAATACCGAAGTGGGTCCTCACTGCAATGGATGAAACGGTGACATCAAAATTGCTTTGTTATCAGTATAGATGAGCGTGGAAATGATTTATTTGGGAATTTCTGCACGAAATGTTTGTCAACAGACATATTACACTAACGTTTATCAAACAATGTACTATCAAAACCATCGGAAATGAAGAACGCTTACATGAACAAACCCTCGTTACAAACATATTTACTCGTCCTTCTCCACTTCCCCACTCTGCGTACAACAGTCCAATAGCTTCTTCAGTTCCAGTGATCGCTTCTTGCTGAGCGCTATACACCGATCCATAGCCTCCAATGACAGTTCACACCCTCCGGTTTTGTCTAACAACACCATGCTGTCGCCGGCCCAGGCCACTGTCACTGACGCCTCACACAGCATCTCCTCGTCTCCGGCCGGATCCAGCACGAGCGTCTCCTCATCGAACACGGCTAGGGTGGCGGCCAGCGGCAGCGGGCCGAGCTTCAGCGGCGTCCTCTCGGCGGGTTTCACCCGCAGCCTTTCCTCGGTGGCGTCCCACTCGGCGCTGGGCAGGCGCAGGTCGGTGAGCGCCGCCGACAGCGCCAGCAGCGCCACGTCCAGCACGTTACCGTCGTGGCTCAGACAGATCAGGTCGCAGTAGAGCACCCACACGGCCTGGCCTGCCTCGATGCAGAGCTGGGTGCGGTCGAGCGCTCCGGACGCGTCCAGCAGCTGCAGCAGCTGGGCGCTGGCCGTCTGCGCCGCCTCCGAGGGCGGGCCCGGCCGGAACCGGTGGTGACAGAGCGCCGGCAGCTCCAGGTTGGGCACCACCCAGCCGCGGTCGGGCGGCGCGTCCGTGGCCGGCGTGCACACCTCCGCTTTGATGCCGCAGAGCACCGACGTGTGGCCGGAGCGGCAGAACGCCGAGCCGTCCGCCGTCGTGATGCCGCCGCGTGTCACCACCGTGGCGCGCGCAGCGTCCAGTTTGCGGCCGTCGGGTCGCTCCTCACACTCCAGGTGCAGCTTGTAAAGAGACTCAGGTTGGATGGCGCGCATGTCAGCCGCCATGATGAAAACAAAACGAGTGCAGAGTTTTGAAGAGTCTTGTTACTGTGAGCAAGGACAAAAAATCACACATAAGGGCTATGAAGTTATGATAGCATCACATAAGGTACCTATACGTCCACTGAGAAATGCAGCAATAAAACATGATCAAACCAACTGAAGAACCAATGATGTTCTGGTCTTTGCTGGCCCCACAATTAAACTTTTATCCAGACAAAGCAATCAAAAATAGCCAATAAAAATGAGAATAATACATATAAGCTTGTTCACTTACAGAGATGACTATTGTTTGCGGGCTGCATAATACCAGCAAAATACAGCATAACTGGTAACAACTGACATTCTGATATAAATGGCCACTGAAGAGCACTCGGGATCATTGATAAATCGCTTTTAAAAGAAAGGCAAATATATCAACATTCCATAGCCCGAAAAATCAATCTCAAGACACCCATGTGATCATAATCGACTGTCAACATGTCATAGCTCATTTTTGAATAGGTACCAATACAGTTCAGGCTTCCGAGTGTTGTAAATGGATGATCCAGCATACCTTTTGAAATCCCAGCGATGCAACCTTCAAATTAGTTATCAAACTATGATCTCAACCAAGATCTTAACTCTCGAAAGGAAACGTCCCACAATATACAGACGTTAGACAAAGATATCATAGTCAAACTGAAACGATATGAAGAAATTAAGGTCCTTTCGTTTTTACACACACGTATACACGTGTATACATACACCACCTTCGGTGAAATGTGTTCTGGAAACGATGGAAGTGGAGGCGATATCCAAAAGCTGCTGATTAGACGAATTCGTAATTCGTTGATTTGCCATATGGCGCTTGAAAATGTTTTATCTTTGCCTTGCGATGAATTGAACACCACCAGTGCCTTGATTTTGTCTTAGCTGCGTAATATATGACGCCAAAAAAGAGGAGGCGTGAAAATTTTGTACCCATTTATAGTTATCCTTATACTGTTGCGGCTTTTATAGAATTATATGTCCTTAGAACTCATGAATATAACTAACTTGAATTTAATACCCTAAGAATACCATCTTTTGTGAAGAAACAGCTGAAACGAAACAGCGAGACTCAATGATAGAGATGAAATTGCATACTTTTCATTCCGAATTGGAATCGAGCTTGGAATCCTGCTTGGAATCAAGAAGAATCTGAAGTCCGGCTGGATCTTGCTATTTTTTTTTCAGATTGCGTTAGATCCTTATACGGCCTTGGTTAGATCTTTGTTTTCATTTTCGCTCACTGGAATCTTCATATATCATAATAATCTTTGAGAACTCAGGTGGACGAAAGACTCTTCATCTTGGATTTTCAGAATATCAAGGTTGGTAAACTTTCCCTTGCTTTTTACCTGCATTTCAATTTCGGCTACCTATCAAAAAGATTGCCGAAATTTCAAAAATTTGTGCAAAGTCAAATGTGCACTCTATTGTTAAGCATTATTATTATACAATATGGGTCATGACATTGACTTTTTTGAGAGGTGGGATCAGCTGTGTGAACGTGGTGGGTGAATCCGTGCTGCATTTTGGGCTGCGGCATGTACCGAGTGAATGCCCATGCCTTAGGCTCAGTTATTTGCTGCCAAAAGTGTATTGAAAGAATCAGCCAGTAGGTCAGTGAATCTTTGACAACAAAAATTTCCTAGGGCGCAAAGCACCACTTGCCTAATGGGGATTTCTAAAATGCTTCAAATTAACACTTGTCAGTAAATATAATTAATTCATTATTGAATAGCTCCACTTTAGTTTGGTGTTGCCTATGATCAATGATCTGCATGGTATTTACTACATATTAAGCACCCATTTCAAAATTCAACATTGAAAAGGGTGACAATTGACCAAATGTAGGTATGGGAAAGCAAGCTAAAATCAACAGCAAACTGTATAACAGCAGTACTATGATGTGATGATCATATGCATGGCATTTAAAGGTAAATGACAAATGATTTGTGAGCATGGCAAAACCTTATATGACTTTTCATTTTTCAGTCATAGTTGAAGTTGAAGCCCCCTTGGTTTTGAATCAATGAGATTGTGCAGTTTGCTTAGTGTGCTTTCATGTTTCAAGATTTGGTACTTGCTGCTTACCCTGATGATAAATCATACAACCTTTGGTTTTGGTGTGTGTTTGTTGTAGACTGTGAAGACGGCACTGCATTTTGTGACTAGAACATCACCTGATCTACTGTCTCACCTTGTATTGGCTTGGGATTATGTCCATGCAAGAAATAAAGCACAGATCAGTGGATCTGCTTCCTGCATCAAGCAGCAGTGTTCCAACAACAACAAGTGGCTTCTGTGGCACACACAGCTGCCAGCACTGTCAAAAAGTTGCACCAGATGGCCTGAGAGAACCCACTCGCCTCTTCCGGCAGAGGTGGACTGGTGCAGAGGAAGACGGGAAGCCCCGGTGCTGCGGCGGCTGGCCGTCTGAGCCGGCGCGCTGATGGCGCTCGAAGAGGCGGACCGTATCCTGTTGCGCTCGCTGGCCGATGTCGGGTTCGAGGCGGACGAGGCCGGCTCACTGGCAGACCTCTCGCCAGGCCAGGTGTTCGCGGCAGTGGCGCTCTGCGTGCGGCACGTGCGTCCAGAGCTGGCCGAGCGAGTGGCCAGCAGAATGCCGGCCTCGCTGTCGGCCCGGCTCAACATGTGCACCGTCATGGCCGACTGCTGCCGGGAGCTGGGCTTCCGCGGCGACATCGGCTACCAGACGGTCCTCTACGGCAGCACCAAGGAGGTCCGCGGCGTGATCGCCTTCCTGGTGGACAAGTTCCCCAAGCAGGACCTGCTGGTGGTGGAGCCGTCGGCGGACCCCCGCTCGGCGCTACTCCGTGCCACGCAGGCGGCGCTCAGTGATGCTCTGCAGCAGCCGTGGACCCCGCACTACTGCCGAACGGCCGCCCAGAGTGTACCGTTCGCCGCCGAGAGGCTGGACGTCGAGGCGGGATCGTTCGTCACCCTCCAGCCGAGCAGCGGCGCGGCGGTGGCGCCGTCCGTGCTCGACTGGACGGCCCGACTGCTGGTGGCAGGAGACAGGCCGGCGCGGACCGGTTCCCTGCCGCCACTGCCGCCAGAGACACTGGAGATGATCGCAGAGGCTGAGCGGCAGTTCCCTCGGCTGGAAACACAGTCGGTAGCGGCGCCCGTCGCTGCTGCTGACGTGGTTGTTTCGGCAGATGTGGCGGCGCAGGAGTCTGCTCCCGCTGAACCCGTAGTAGAGGAGCTGTCGGCGGAGCAGGAGTCGGAGCAGGACCGGCGGGAGCAGGCCAGACTCCAGCAGGAGCAGGAGCTGGCCGCCGCTAATGGGAGTCTGGAGCGGATCCGCGCTTCGCTGGAGGCCAGCACCAAGGAGTACCAGCTCCTGCTCCAAGAGTGCACGGAGGGGCAGGCGGAAGCGGCGGCGGAGGCGGCTCTACTCAGTGAGCGGCGCGCCGGTCTGCCGCTGCGCCAGCGGGCCCGGCAGGCCCTGGACGCTGGCGGGGACGCGGTGAGCGGCGCCACGGCGGCCGAGCGCGCCCGGCAGCGCGCCGCGCACCGGCACGCCGAGTGGGAGACGCGCCGCGCCGACCTGGAGCGGACACTGGCCGAGCTGCGGCGCACGGCGCGCGACGCCCCGCTCGAGGAGCTGGCCCGCCGGCAGGAGGAGCTTCGCAGTGAGCTGGCGCAGCGCGAGAGGGCGCTGACGACCCTGCAGGGACAGGCGGCCGGTCTGAAGAAACACGTGAAACGAACGGCGTACACCAAACGTATCCTCGAGATCGTCGGCAGCGTGCGCAAACAGCGAGAGACCATCACGGCCAGCATTGAGGAGACGAAGGCGCTGAGGAAGAGCATCAACACCACCTCGGAGAAGATCGCGCGCACGTTTCAGGCGGCCGAGGAGCAGATTTTCCCGGAGGCGGCCGGTAACGAGTGGTCGCGCGCCTCGTACCGCGGCCTGGTGTCGCTGCACGACTGCTGCTCCGAGCTGGTGAACCTGGTGGAGCAGACGGCGGCCGTGCTGCGGCGCGGCCGGCGCGTCCAGGAGATGATCGACCAGGAGAGGAGCAGGCGCGTGGAGGTGACGCTGGAACAGGTGCGGGCCGACCTGGAGAAGGTGCGCCTGGAGAACCAGCAGCTGCAGCGCGACGTCTGAGCAGTGCCGTGTGCTGCAGTGGGGCCCGGCGGCGGGCGGGCGTGGCCTTCAGGTTGGGTGCTAGGGAAGCTGTGGATGACAGGAGGTTACCGATGTAAACGCAGCGTTATCGCATATTGCGCTCTTGTGCCATTCCATGATCCTGTTAGGGACCCTCGCGGTCAGTATGATTTTGTATTGCATTTGGTGCCTTGCGAACTGCGGTTAATGGCTATGATGTAGGTAATTGCTGCACTTTGCTAGAGACGTCCAACGATGTGTTTGAAGCCATTCCTGGAAAAAGCCATATTTAGTACGAGAGAGGGTACGCCAAATAAGTGATTAACCGATCATTATCATAATTGATAAATGATCTAAAGTGATTATGTTCAGCATGTTGCCTGGGTCCTATTACTCTGCTAGGTGGCATGCGCTGTGTGATTTACGCATAGTTCCATAATACGTGATCAATGCTCCTTTAGCTATTCCAACTACCAAGGGCGTGTTTATAGTCCTTCGCTTGGTAAATGGCACCTTTAATTTCTGTGAGAAAAAAAAAATAAATTGTATCACGAATCCGCATATCAAATACATTATCGGCTTTCGTTGCCGTGAATGCGCTTTTGATTGAAGACGTGATGGCTTGGCAATAATACCGTTCGTAGTGACCCGGAATCTGTTTCTTGGTGATTACCACAGGATTGGTTTTGGTCAACGGCGCACTTGAAATATGAGCTTCACTTACTCAGGTTCTTAAAAACAACTTGATTGTAGTAGATTATTGGAGCAAAGATCCTTGCCCAAATGAACTGCATACAAACTCAGTGAAACCTAAATGTATGTACTAAAGAGCAACTATGACGTGAACCGTGACCTTCAGGAGAGTGGGTTTCCCATCACATACCGGATGCACCCAAAATGGTCGAATAGGTGGAACGAAACATAACACCACATTCCAGTCGACCGACGCTAGTCATCAGCTCGTCAAAGCAAACTTAGTAGCCAGCATGTAATGTTTACCATAGGACAACATTCAGCTATTATAACGCATAGCAACAACCAGGCGAATCGCGGGACCCTTTACAATCCTGACCTCCAAAGCGTCCAGGACTGAAGAGGACGTTATCCAGACCAGGAGATTAATCAGACGCCGCCTATCTCCAGGGAGTCCGGGGGCACGACCAGCCGACGGGGCTCATGTTCGTCGTCCACCCACGTACAAATAAACACCGTGGCACCGTCCGAAGCCCCGAGACCGCCGGCCGCGTCCGCGTGGGTGTGTGTATGTGTGTCGTGGGAACCAGACCTGCGTCCACTTGTACTAGGCCACTCATAATTGGTGCTAGGAGCTAGGGTAGGATCGATATGCCGTCTCACCGGCGCTGTATGGTGTGTTCCAGAGATGGCGTAAGTCTGCAGCCTGCGAGGCTGCGGGGTCCACGCCAGCCCACATCGGTCGATGCCGGTCATAGACAGTATGATGTGGAGATTTTCTACCCTATTCAACTATATCCGAGGTGGGTGAGACGCCGGTCTTTTGTGACGCTACTTTGTTTAGGTGTGCTTCGATTTACCGGAGTTCTGTTCAGGTCTCCCTTTATTGCAAACCAGTTTACCATCTATACTAATTACTAAACGGATGGCATTTGGCAGTGTTAATTCTCACTGCTTTGGTCACACATACGGCCTACTGTGTATCCATCGTTTGGTTAAATTTCGTACAGCCCACTTGTTAGAACCATATTATTACGGGGCATGAACGTTTCATCCCCGCACATTTTACAGAGTCCCGCCATGTTTCACTGACTTTCACCTCCGTAGATCTCCCTTTGACACCGCTCCCCTCTGCAGGTGGAGTTCGGAGCGGCGCCTGGCGCGTCCGCGAGACTCCCAGTCAGCTCCTGTCGGACGACCGGGAGGACCGTGATGAACAGCGCTTGGAGGAGGCGGCGGCCGGACCGCGCCCCCGCGGCCGGC